GTTCTAAGGAGGAGCCATTGGACTCGAAACATTAACTCTGACTTCTCTCCACAGATGCTGCCAGACCTGCTGAGCTTTTCCAGCAATTTCTGCTTTTGTTTCTGATTTATGGCATCCACAGCTCTTTCAGTTTTTGTCCCACCATATAGTCTTTGGTCCCAGTCAACGTTAGCCAACTCCTCCCTCATCCCATTGTAGTCTCTTTTGTTTCAGGGCAAGACATTGGTATTGGATTTTAACTTCTCACCCTCCATCTGTATTTTAAATTCAGCCACACTGTGATTGCTTCTGTGGATGGAACCCTACCTATGAGATAATCGATTATTCCTGTCTCATTACACAGGACCAGATCTAGGATAGTTTGCTCCCTTGTAGGTTCCGTTACATACAGTTCGAGAAAATTATCGCAGATATATTCTATGAACTTCTCCTCAAGGCTGCCTTGACGGACTTGGTTTGAGCAATCAATATGTAAATTAAAATCCCCTGAGATATTTGCCGTACCATTTTGACATGCATTAGTTATTTCTTTGTTTATTGCCCGCCCCAGCATGATGCTGTTATTTGGTGGCCTATAGACTATGCCTATCGGTGACGTTTTCCCCTTACTAATTCTAATTTCCACCCACAATGATTCAACCTTTTTCTCCATGGAACCTATATCATCCTTCACTACCACCCTGATGTCATCCTCAAATATCAGAGCTTTTCCACCTTCCTTTCCTCCCTATCTGTCCTTCCAAATAGTCTGATATCCCTGGATATTTAACTCTCGGTCATGGCCACTCTGCAACCATGTCTTCGTAATGGCCACTAAATCATACCCATTTGCAATGTTTTTTGCCATCAACTCATTTACCATGTTTTGAGTGCAGTGAGTATTCAGGTAAAATGCCCCTATGCTAGTCTTTATGCCTTTTTGAATCCTCACGCCTCCACCAGAAGAACCTTTGTTTTCACACATTCTCCCTTTTTCTCTCTGTACCTGGTTTCCACTCAGCTTAGTGGTACACTGCTCAGTTGCTTCTTGCTTTTTATTTACTGTCTTGATTCTATTTTTCCTTAAGCCCTCACTCACTCCAGCTAATTCAGATCTTCCCTTTAGGTTCCCAGCCCCCTGCCAAACTAGTTTAAAGTCCACTCAACTGTGCTAGCAAAACCATCGGCTAGAATATTGGTCCCATTAGTGTTCAGGTGAAGGCTGTTCCTCTTGAACCGGTTCGACCAGGTCGCAGTTATTCAGAAATCTAAAGCCTTCCCTTCTACACCACTCTCGCAGCCATGGATTAAACTGCCTAATCTGCCAATTCCTAGCCTCACTAGCATGCGACACAGGTAGTAATCCAGAGATTACCATCTTTGACGTCCTGACTTTCAATCAGGCTCCTAACACCCTAAATTCAGCCTTCAGGACCTCATCCCTCTTCCTACCTATGTCACTGGTATTAACATGTACCATGGGCAGTGTGGTTCGCATGTGGAATGAACTTCCTGAGGAAGTGGTGGATGTGAGTACAATAACAACATTTAAAAGACATTTGGATAAGTGCATGAATAGGAAAGGTTTGGAGGGATATGGGCCAGAAGTTTAGTTTGGAATTTTATTTGGCATGGACTGGTCGGATCGAAGGGTCTGTTTCTGTATTGGATGACTCCATGATTCTGTGACAATGACCACTGGCTGGTTCCCTTCCTCCCCGCAAAATGACTTGTAGCCGTTCAGTAACCTGTAGGACCCTTGCACCAGGGAGGCTCCACACCATCCTGTTGTCACTAGAGCAGAAAAGCTTCTCTGTTCTCCCATTGCTCCTATTGCTACAGTCCTAACCACCTTTTTCTTCTCTCCCTGTGCAGATGAGTGACCTGCAGAGCTGCAGGTTTTACTTTGGCTGCTATTCCCTGAGGCATTATCACCACCTCCAGAACTCAGCAAAGACTACTGGTTGGCTATAGGGATAGTCTGAGGGAACTCCTGCACTGTCTGCCATGACTTATGCTTGCATGTGACGATTACCCATTCCCTATTCTCCTGCATCCTTTTACTCTGGGGGGTAACCACAGCCTTGTATGTGCCATCCACAGAACTTTCATTCTCCTGGATGCTCCTCAGTGCCTCCAGACCTTGTTCAAGCTCCACAACTCAGCGCTCAAATTGGAGGTACTGACAGCATCTCCTGCACGCGTGTTGCTCATTGATGCAATCATCGTCCAAGAACTCCCGCACTTTACAAGTAGAGCATGAGGTTGTAGACTTGCTCGCTGAGTCGGTGTGTTTGGTTGCCAACGTTTAGTCAGCCTGCTAGGTAACATCGGCAGTGCGCTTCCGGTGAAGCATTGGTGTTATCATAGAATCATAGAATCCCTACAGTGTGGAAACATAGAACATAGAACATAGAACATTACAGCGCAGTACAGGCCCTTCGGCCCTCGATGTTGCGCCGACCTGTGAAACCAATCTGAAGCCCATCTAACCTAAACTATTCCATTATCATCCTTATGTTTATCCAATGAAACAAATCCACACCGATCCATAGACCATCCCACCCAGACCCATCCCCCTAATTTACACATCCCTGCACACTATGGGCAATTTAGCATGGCCAATCCATCTTTGGACTGTGAGAGGAAACCGGAGCACCCAGAGGAGAACCCGGGTTCCTGGCGCTGTGAGGCAGCAGAGCTAACCACTGAGCCACCGTGCCGCCCTTTCTATCCCTGTTCTGTCCCGCTTATTATTTATATGCCTCGGTTTGCTGGGGTGGTTGGCATTACTTCCGGTGTTGATTTTTAGTGGTTTGTATATTGGGTCCAGTTCAATGTATTTGTTGATGGAGTTCTGGCGAGAATGCCAGGCTTCCAGGAATCCCCTGGCATGTCTCTGGTTTGTGCTATTATGAATGTGTTGTCCCAATAGAATTCGTGTCCTTCTTTGTCCGTTGAGACAAATGAGAATTGTTTGTGTCTCTTGGTGGCTAGTTGGTGTTCGTGTATCCTTATTGTCAGTTTTCTTCCAGTTTGGCCTATGTACTGTTTTTCACAGTCCTTGCATGGTATTTTTTATATTACATTAGTTTTATTGGTTGTGGGTATGGGATCCTTTATGTTTGTCAGTAGGTGTTGCAGGGTGGTTGTTGGTTTGTGGGCTACCCTGATACCTAGGGGTCTGAGTAGTTTTGTGGTCATCTCTGATGTGTCTCTGATGTACGGGAGAGCATACTGCTTGAAGGAACTGGACTGCCATCTCTTTAATTAAACAAAAAATTACCCACTAAATAAAACTGAATTTAATTCTCACTAACACACAATAATAGTCAACTAATTAGTATAGTAATTTCAATAGGTTATTTGATGAGAATTAAAAAAATTAAAGACTTCTACTCTCCCTTCAAACAGCCAATCACTTAACAGGTTGGCTGTGACATCAGTCTCGGATCTTGTGCTCCCTTTCACCAGAAGCTGTTTAGCTGTAAGAGAGATAACTTGGTAAAACATTCAACAGAGTTTATGCAGACAACGCACCATCAAAATCATCTCCAGTGGGATCCATTGTAAGACACCAGACGGACTGCTGCAGAGTGTGAGGGCATCTTCATTAGATTTCTGTCAACTTCTCTTGAGCAAGCAAATGTGCAGAATTATCTCAGTGATAAGGATAAATTTGCTAATGATGAGTATTTTTCTGCATTTAAGTAGGTTAGAATATGTAGTTATGCTCCACAAAAGTTAATATCAGAATTCCATGTTTTATAGTATTCCTGCAATTAAATTTGAAATTTTTGATGATCACATTATATTTTCATATTTCTATTTTATATAGTGTCAAGATTTCATTTTAAACATTTTGCTGATATTAAAAGATTGAAATATTTAATATAAAGAACTAGATTAAGTAGAATTGAGTAATTAATTTTAATTAGTCCCTACTCCCTCACCTAGCCCAGGCAAAGCCATGCTTTGGTTTTAAATAGAAATTATTTCCTTATTTATGATGTATAATTTTTTCAGTTGCTGGTCAAGGCTTTCTGTCCCTTCCTTCAAACCTTGTGACTTTGCCATATCTTTTCTGGATAGCTTTTCCAGTTGCCCTGGAAAAATAACCCTGACTCAACCATCTTTTTGGTCCTCAGGTATTTAATAGCAAGGTGCTCAAGTTGCTTTCAAAACATTCTGCAGCTATAGCAATGGGCGTTTGCTGCAGGAGCATCAGTGAGCCTGCCACAGTGAAGAAGATGTGGCTAGCACAGTGTCCCTTCATAAAAAATCTCTTTCATTGCAGGAGCTCTCTTTTAGCCAGTGAGTCTGTGTAAGGCCATGCTCTGAGAAAGCCTGTACAGATACCTTCTTCAAAAGCTGTGAATACTAGATGCAAGGGCTGAAAGGAAAATCCTGCATTTCAACAGTGTAAATAGCAGGAAAGGTAATTGTTTGGCTTTAGTATTTCTCCTAATGAACCAGTCAGTGGAAAGCAGCTGGGAAACTACGGCACATGTCCTCAAGTTGTTTTTCACCAATCCAGATTTGACTAAGGACAGATAGAGGGAAGGAGAAGAGCAAACAACATCAACTCGAGCGTTTTGAAGAAATGTTTTATTTTGTGTTTAGCTTTACTTCAATATTTGAAATTCTGAAATCTGAACACTGACTTAGCAAACTACATTTTATGCTTGACACCATGTTTTTCACTCCTGTATGATATCTTGTTTGTATGAAACGTACAGTTTTAAAGCACCTTACTTGTTATCAATTCAAAATAATACATTTTCAGGATAAACATTTTGTTGTCAGCAGAGGGACAATAGGTGGCCTATGATTAAAAATTTAAAAAATGATGCGAGTTGTGTATCTAGAAACAATGTGACTTTGCACCTTCTAAATTGTACAGCAAACACTCTGCACAGATGCTGCCAGACCTGCTGAGCTTTTCCAGCAACCTGCTTTTATTTACAAATGGCAGTTGAGGCGAATTATAATGGAGATGTTGTACATAATTTATTTTTCAGCATAATGACTCACAGGAAGACTGGAAAATTAAAGCTGTTCTGGAAGGGAAAGACTTCTTTGGCCCATCAATGCTGTACATTCGGGCTTGTGAAACATCGATGTATCCATTAATGTTCAAACCAAGTTTTGAGGGTGTGACTATGGTAAGATGTTTTACTGCTTTTAAGTATTGTATTGACAAATTCCTGACAGATTGTGTAAAACAACATTATTGATGACAAGCCATTGCTCATGAGACATCTGGGCTGTCATATTTTTCTTCATTGTTCTGTGTTTGAATTAATAATCTTGAGGGGAATCACTGTGGGGGTTACTGTAGGTGATGAAAAGTAGCCAATTAAGCAATATATTTGAATTTTCATTGATATTATTCGAGTCTTATATGACTGAAATAATGGCTTCGATTGACAACTGAGGAAGAAGTAACATTTGAACACAATTAATAATATAGACATAGTTTAACAAAAAAAAGACATTTCTTTTAGTTATTTTGTACAATCCAGCTGGAATCAGATGTTGGCAAGCAAGTAAATTGATTTTATTCAAGAAGGAAAGTCAAAAAACAAAACTTCAATATTGCAATAGAGGCTTTTTTGTCGTTTTATCACTTTACAGTTTTTGACAAAAAAATGAGTGACATGGCTCCAATAACTCTCTGAATTAACATAATGGGCATTAGTTTCATGTTGTGGGAAAATCAGGCTAGGGTGATGATATGTTACATGCCAGGAAGAATGAATGAGATTTTACAGGTTCCATGGTCTGCCGTAATTTAAATCAAATTGCTCATCTGGCAGCACGGATTGCACTCCCACTGAGCACCTCCCAATTCAAAGGGCATTCCCATATATATTCCTGATGCTGATTGTAACTTGGAGCAGGATCCATGAGACATTGGTCGAAAACAGGTCGTAAACCATCCTGACCTCGGCGGAATGAGAAATGAAAGATTTTATCTAACTGGTTTCACTCGCACGGTCTTTGTAAGTCTCCTGCTGAAAATTGATGGGAAGAACCAGCTGGGTTGGGGGTATGAGAGCAATAATGGGCAGCAGGAAATCTATTCCTAGGGCAGGCACACAAACATGTAAACGAAGAGAGTAGTGCAAGTGGCTTCATGGATGAAGGATAGGAGAATGGATGGGTAGGTACCACAGAGCAAGGAAATGGAATTTTCCTTGTGGGACTGAGGAGCACCAAAACAATGAAACCCCTTTTTGGTTTGCTTGGTGTGAGCGTCTGTGGCTCTACCACATAAAGCTGAATTTAGAAAAAGAACATTCTGGCATTGATAACCTCATCAAAATCCAATCTATCTATTTGAGTAAGAATTATGCAAATTCTGGCAAGTCTGTTGCTTACTCAACAAATTAAAATAGGAGTTGTATAAAGACTGCAGACTCTTAGTAAGTTAAGTCCCATTATTGATCTTAACTGTCCGTTACTCTCCCCTCCCACCTCCACTAGCTTGTGTTGAGAAGACAATTCACTTCTCATAATGAATGAAAAAACAACTCCAGGAAAAAGAGACAGAAGTGAAGGATAAGGACCAAGGCAGCAGTAGTGACGATATTTAAATTCTACAGGGTTGATGTTATAGCCGGAGCCCTGCCTCACTTCTGCTCGCATTGTGGCACCATCAGAATTTGGGGACTCCTGACGAAGTCATTGGAGCCTTGTGATGTTTTAATCACTAAAAAGTACATATGTGTAATTTGTTAAGATGCATTCATTAAATGTGTGCAACAGCCATGCATTTCACTATATGTTGTAACTTGAACTTGAAAATGCAAGTCCAACAAATGAGAAATTGTCTGGTACAACCATGACTTCCAGTTATGTCAATGACATTCTAAAAAAGGCATCCATGCAAATGTCAGTCAGAGTTTGAGAATAACAAAATTGCAGCAGGATGAGACTATTTAGCCCTTCACACCTATTCAAGTAAATCATGTCAGATCTGTATTTCAAATAGACCTGTGGTCAGTGGGGTTTCATAAGGATCAGTGCTGGGACTACAACTGTTTACAAAATATATTCATGATTTGGAAAAAAAGAAGTGACTGTATTGTAGCCAAATTAGCAGACAATACAAAAATAAGTGGAAAAGCAGGTTGCAAGAAGGATGCAGTTTCAGACAGATATTGACAGGTCAAGTAAGTGCGCAAAAAATTGGTAAATGGAGCATCATGTGGGAAAATGTGAAGTTGTTTATTTTGGAAGGGAGAACAGAAGAACAGAGTATTATTTAAAGGAAGAAAAACCTGCAGAAAGCTACTATACAAGGGTTAGTAGGAACTGCAGATGCTGGAGAATCCGAGACAACAAGGTGCAGGGCTGGATGAACACAG